ACCTGGCTCCTCACCTGGCCTGAGACTGCCGGGTCTGACGCCCCTGAGGCAGCGCCTCTGCGCACGCGTGCTCTGCACCCGGCTCCCCGTCGCCCCTCGCCACCGCCTCGCCGCCGCCCGGCCGCCGACCCCGTCCGTGTGCAGCAGCAGGGTGCCCCTGCGAGCAGGCAGGGTGACCCCGCCCAGGGGAGTCTTTCTAGCCTGCGCGCCTCGGGCTCCTCAGGTGTAGCGAATACAAATGCAGGCCTCCTGGTTAGAGTGGAATTCCAGGTAAATTACTTCCCAGTGTGAATACAGCCTGGCTGGTGCTGATTCGAGATCACGATTTCCTGCGCGCTGCGTCTATATTGCTGGGAAACGAATTCAGAGGAGGGGGCTGCACCCCGGAGGCCAGGCCGGGCTGGGGCGGCCGGGCGGGGGGGAAGGGGCCTCTGTCGTGCAGGTCGCCGTGGGCGAGGCGCGGCCTGCAGTCTGGAAGCTTCTGCAGACGAAGTCTGCTGAGACAGCGCCCGCCGGAAGAGGAAACGGAATGGCAGTGGGAGACTTAGCAGGGCGGCGCGGGAGAAGAGGCCTTCGGGAGCTGCCCGCGAGCATTGCCGGGAGGCATAGGCACAGGTGGCAACGCCCAGGGGCCCCTGGGCCGCTCTACCTGGGCGTCCTCAGTGACCCGGATGTCCGCAGGGCCACCCGCCCAGAAGTGACTGGCCCCGCTCAGTGACGACACCTTCCTTGGGGCTGACCTCTGCCCTTGCCTGTAAGGAGGGTGCCTCACCTGGCTGGAAGATCACATTGCTTAAGGTCGCGGGCACCTACAGGGCCTCCTACAGGGTCAAGACCACTGTTTTCCCTTTGGATTTCTCTTTTGGCTTTGTACAAGGGATGATTGAAAAATACAGCGAATGTTTAAATATTTAAAAAATTATTACAGTTAAATACGTTTGCATTAATTGCCATTACTTCAAACACTCCCCGTCACTTCTAACACACTTAGCCCATGGTTCTTGCCACTTTCTGAAGCAGTTCTGAAATCCTCTTTCCTGAGTGTCTTTATGAGGCGTGATTAAAAATACAGAGAATGCTGAGGCTGAGCGTCATCCAGTGGAAACGCAGGCTCATAAAACCATGACGTCGCGTCCTCACCCACTTTATTCACCAGATCTGCACCGTGAGACTTCTGGCTCTTCTCCAAGTCAAAATGACCGTGAAAGGGAAACGTTTTGAATGGATTCAGGACATCGAAGTAGCCAGGACAGTGCAACTGAAGACCCTCAGGAAAGAGGATTTCCAGCTGCTGAGGAAAGTGACAAGAATGATAGGGTCAGTGTGTTTGAAGTGAGAGGGAGGATTTTGAGGCGATTGATGGAAACAAGTCTTTTGTTGCAATTTTAAAAACCCTTCAACACTCACCGTATTTTTCTTTTTTCTTTCTTTCTTTTTTTGGTACCAGGGATCGGACTTGCGTCCTTTTGCTTACGCAGCAGGTGGCGAAACCACGGAGCTAAATCCCCAGCCATTCACTGTATTTTTCGATCACACCATATACTATTTCAGTTAGGAAGTCACCAGCAGGGTGTGCTTGAGCTGCCTGGTAGCAGAGCCACTTCTAGCTTGGGTCCTGAGGAGGAAGGCTCTTGAGCTCTTTTTCCTGGGTAGCTAAAGGACCCTTTTTTGGTGCTGTGACCCCACAGAAGTGACCGATACCGTGTCCTTGCCCATTTCTGGCCCAGTTGATTAGACTGGGAGAAGAGTGTCATTCTGGCTCCCTGTGGAGACCAACTAGAAAAGTACCTTTATCATTTGCCAAGAATTGTATGCTTTTCAGAGCATTTTACACAGAAACATCCAGGGAGGTAAATAATAGTCCTTTAGTTTTTACAGATGAAACAGTGGCTCCCAGGATGAAGGCACCTGCCCGGGATTCACACACATCTTGTTTTTAGCCTTAGCCCCAAATATGAGCTTGCAGCTGCCCTGCCCGTGCCAATACATAAGCAAACCTTCCTTGCGTTTCTGTCTGTGCATGCCTAGTTCTAGTTGCCAGATTTCCATCTTCTGTGCTTGCTGATAGCAAAACCATCCATGCCAATGATTTTTTGCAGTGTCCAGGAGGAAGTGTGAGTTTCTATAGAGGAGCAACTGACATTATTCTGCCACAATACTGTTTTGAGTTGTTATAATTTTAAAAACATTACTCATGAATTAATAAGCAGTAAAATAATACAGTTTTTTTCAACACAAGTGTGCCAAGCAATGATTATTTTACTTGACCAGATTAAAGTTAAATAAATTGCAACCAAAAAGACATTCGTCACTATTCATCTGTCACTCAGAACCTGTGCTCACAAATGGCCATATGGCTCTCAGTGTGACACACGAGGTCCCAGCAGCTGGAAGGAGTCCGCAGTGCCTGCTGCCCTTTCTCCCAAATGGCAGGGCTTGGATGGCCCATGTTACGGCCGAGTGTGAGGGACACTGACTCTTTCAGAGTGGCTCTGTCTGGCTTTTCGCCTCGTGACCTTGCAGGTAGTGAGACTGTAGACACCCAAGATCAGGATCCCTCCTTTGAAAACTTAGCCCAGAAGTTTTTCTATGCTAACACCTGCGCCTAGAGATGCCCTGACCCAGGCCACCTGCAGCTTCAATTAGACCCCTTATCAGCTGGAAAGAAAATGCTTTGAAAGAGGGTCTGGCATGGCTTTGAGGTTGGAAGGGATGGTTTTATTTACTTTCCAGTGGGAAGCTATCTCCTTTAGGTTCCAGACGATTACAGTTATTCGGCTTGTTTCTGACATCAGAAGTGCAGCTGTTTCAAAAGTACTTTGAAGCAACTCTACCCGTTAGAATGTGAACTACATTCTAACACATGAGAATGCCATACACTAAAACATTTTCTTGACTTATAAACACTAGGTTTGTGGCAGTGAGCCCCAAGATTTTTAACAAATCAAGTACTGTTTGCAGGAAAGAATAAAATCTTAATTCTTTTAATTCTGTACAAACTGTCAGCTAGATTATACAATTACCCACTGCCATCAGACACCCGTCAGCCTTAGTTGTCCTTATATTACTGTCCCATAATGAAAATATCCCACTTTGAGCTTTTGTGATAGTGATCATAGAACTTGTTACCCACTGTTAAGGAAGGAGGCTAAGGAGTCAGGCATGGTGGTGTGTGCCTGTAGCTCCAGCTACAAGGGAAGCTGAGGCAGGAGGATCATTTGAATTTAGGAGTTTGAGATCAGCCTTTGCAAGATAGTAAGACCTTGTTTCAAAAAAATGAGAGAGAACAGAACACCAAGATAGCTCCAATATAAAAACTGGTGTCTTTAAAATGTTCTTCTAAAAGGAATACAAGGAATGTGGGCCAATTCAATAACTAAACTGTTGGGCTGCTATGATATATACATATACAATTAGTTGTTATGAAATTACATTCACACCTAGCTCCACTGTGTTGGGAAACAGCAGCACATGGATTTAAATACCTTAAAGAACCAGCACTCATTAGACACAGTGATCAAACAGGAGACTTTTACTTCATTACAAACCATCAATCTGAAAAGAGTATTTCTTAAAACTGTGTAATGTGATACAATCTCTAATTAAAAAGTATGGGGCGGGGTAAATGCCCATTATCTTGAGAACTCAAGAGCAAACACATCAACAGCTGCCTGGCTGATTTCAAGGATGAAGAGATTTACTATTTCCATCTGCACAGCCCAAAGCTTTCCAAGGCTTCCGTGAGTAAGGCATAAACCAGCACGCAGGCCCATAGAGTAGCAAAAGCCCCAGCATGCACACTGGCTCAAGCCACTGACTGGCCTCACTAAGAGCCGCCCCAGGCCCTTCCTGGCCACAGGGCCACCCATCAACTTCTCAGCCTTTGCTCTGCCCTGTCTGGAGCTCAGTGCTGGGCTGAGGAGGTCTGGGGAACCCTGCTGGCAGGAAATGCGCACGCAGAAGTGCGCTTGGAAGCAAGTTACATTGCATCCTGTCCGGGGACCAAGCCGCCTGCCACTGGGCTCTGTGCCTCTTCTGCCAGGATGCAGCCATACCAAACACCTCATCTTAGTGGGGACACACAAAGCAGGCTTTGGCCAGGCCACATGAATCAGGCTCACTCTGGCCTCTGGAGCACAGTGCCCTGCGGTCTCTGTTGCCACTACTCACCTCTGCTGCTGTCATGCAGGAGCATGGATTACGGTCTAAACACCAGTGAGGGTGACTAGGTGCCAATAAAACTTTATTCACAACAACAGCAGTGGGCTGGCTCTGGCTCTGGAGCCAGTTTCCCCAGCCTTGTTCTAGACACTAACCACAAAGGCCTCTCTCCTGAAAACTGCCTGGCCCTGGGCCCAGCCACATCAACGCCCACTCACCCCAGGTTTAGTGCTCTGACAGTGGACCCATCTCTGCAGTAGAAGCAGCCAGAGTGACCGAGGAGCCAGTGTTTATGACCCTCAGGGGCGAAGCAAGGCCATCAGAAACTGACAGGGACTGGGAAGGCCCAGTGGGTTTCCTTAAGCACCCTGAGCTTGCAGCCCTCCCTGGCTTTTGCTGATCTCGGAGTTGCAATGAGGAGCCAAGGACAGCCTGCAGTGGCAGGTGCACTCTTAGAGAAGAATGACAAATTATGGGTAACCTGCTGCCTGAGAAGCTTGCAAGGGTCATGCACCTTCCCCAGGTACCCGATGTGGAATTCACTGCTCAAGCAACAGGGACTATCAACTCAAAGGACCTGCTCACTTGTGGCTAAAGAAACAAAATAACAGACACATAAAAGTCGAGAGAATAGTGACAGCCAAGAATCACAGAAATTCCTCGAAGTAGGGGTCTCATATTGTCATCTTAGCCAGCTGCTTCTGTTACCAACCAGGAAACCAAAGCCCAAGGAAGAGGTGCTCGCCTTCCTGTACACCAAACCTTAGCCATTTCTATGTACGATCGCTGCCAGCTCACTGAGCACTCTGCCCCTGAAGGAGTTCCACTGACCACACAAATGCTCACGTCACAAGACCTTGTTCTGTTACCCAGCTACCCTGCAGGACAAATTGTCTGTGGTGGCAGCGATGGCCCAGGAGGACATCTGCCAGGTGCTGCAGGGGACAGAAAGCAGCACGTCACAGGTTTAGCGTAGCTGACAAGAACTGCACAGGGTAGAGCATTAAGTGACCGTCTTCCCACGAATACAGATGCTGGTCTCGCATGTTGTACGACAGCATGGCAAGGACAGACTGGGAAGTCCTTAAATTAAAGTTTGCGTTGATCTGCTTCCCGCCTAACAAATCGAAGGCGAACGTTATCCTCATATCCTTGGTGTCTGTGACGTAGAGGACGCCCCGAGCTACGAAGGCGTTGCCGGCCTTGGACTTGGGGTACGTGGTGTTGATGAGCCGCGAGACAGAGAATGTCCTCTCCTCCAGCTGTGCGACCACCATGCTCGAGCCGTCCGCACTGGAGGCGTAGATGATCCAAAGGCCTTTTTCATCCACAGCTAGGCTGAAGTAAGTCTTGGAATTTGCAAAAAGGTATTTCCGATCAAAATACAAGGCGTTCTCGAGCTTCAGAGTGCGGGACGTTTCTTTGTCAAACTCAAATCTGAAAGATGTTTAAAGACAAGTGGACGTGAGGGGCACTTTTGTTAGGGTCCTTGCGACTGGGTTCCCAGGCCCCGGGTGGGGTCTGCATCGCTAACAGCTCCCGTGGAGCTGACCATGGGGTGCAGGGGACAGTGACCGGCCCTGCCGCAGGCACACAGCGGCAGGCAGCCCTCCCCAGCAGAAGGGATTCACACCGGAGCAGCGGCTGCCTGCCCCGGGCCGTCCTGCCCACCGCCTGCGCGGCCCCAACTGCCCTCCCAGGTCCCCGGGGCCCAATCCTGCACTTCACAAAGCAGACAAGTGGCCGTCCCCGAACACAGGCATCAGGGCCAGAGGCCGAACTCAAGTTTTCTAACTCCGAGTCGGGGTTATTCTTTTACTCCATGCTGGGATATTAGGGGAAAAGTTTCCACAAACTTTTCATTTAAGAGAAATATCCCCCGCTGAGAAGAGCTGTAACCGAGTCAGAGCTGTGCAGACGTTTTGCTAGGTGAGTGGCTGCTGAGTTAAGCTATGGCATGGACTCCCTTGGCCCTGAGCTCCTGGGCTGTTTGATTTGCAGACCCCAAATGTAGATATAAAAAAACAAATTATGATTCAAAAACCGCCTCAATCCAGGAATGACAACGCAGGGGCATGAGGCGAAAAGGAAACACCAGAGGGCGCCATCGAGCTGCGGAGAAACCCGGGACGCCAGGGGGGGCTGCGCCGCGCACACCGCGAACGCAGGGAGGCCTGGACGCAGGGAGGCCTGGACGCAGGGAGGCCTGGACGCAGGGAGGGGAAGGCCCTGCGTTCCGGCTGCCAGGAGCGGCTCCGCCTGCATCCCGGCCAGGGCGCCGGGCGCGGGGCTGGCGCCTCCTTCCCGGGAGCGCCCCGTCCCCACCCGTGACAGCAGTGCCGCTAAGGGCAGCAGGCCCCACGGGGAAGGGGGCACTTCAGACAAGCTGTCTCGGCGGGGGGGGGGGGGGCGGCGGCGCTCAGGGCCAGGCCTGCTGCCCTCCCGCGTGGCGCGAGACCCTGCCCAGGAGGGCGGAAGGGAGCTCTGGTCATATCTACTGAGGACGCTGAGCCCACCGGAGGTGGCATCTTCCTTGTGCCCTGGACAAGGAAGTGGAAGAGTTAGGACCAGAAGCCAGGTGTCCTGGCTTACAGTTCTTGTTTGTTTTGTAATACAGGGATCGAACTCAGGGCCTCTGCTCTGAGCTACATCCCCGGGTGTCCTTTTTCATTCGGAGACAGGGTCTTATGTCACTGAATTGTTCAGGCTGGACTCAAATTTCTGATCCTCCTGCCTCAGCCTCCCAGTTTGCTGGGATCACAGGAGTGCACCATCATACCTGGCTTGTAGTTCATCTTTTTCTTGATTTGCCCAAGACAGCCTGTTTCTGCTTCTAAAGCCCAGAGCTTATTTCTCCTTCAACTGTAAGGACAAACCTTCCAGAGTGTGTGAGGGCAGTGGAAAGGCGAGCCGCCACCCCGGGCACGATCTACCCCGGGACCCTTCCTGCCCCCAGGGATGCAGAGGGAAGGGGTGAGCTGGCCTCCGTGTGCCCCATCAGGGTGACAAAGACTCCTGACTCGGAGTCTCAGTCCCTCGCCTCAGTGATGGCTGTGTCATGAAATTCCCCAGTCCCAACTTTGTAAATGGAGCCGGGAGCCCTGGGCTGGGCTGCAACCTCCTCCAGTGTGGGACAGCTGGGCTCTCGCCACTCCAGTCACCTCTCTTGCCTCTGACGAGTGTGATGACCACCTGGGCCAAGACCGGCATCCTGCAACTCACCTGACGACAAACCCTGATGGACCCCGATGGACCCCGATGGACCCCGATGAACCCCGATGGACCCCGATGGGCCCCAATGAACCCCGATGGACCCCGATGAACCCCGATGGACCCCGATGGGCCCCGATGGACCCTGATGGACCCCGATGAACCCTGATGGACCCCTAGTTCCCGGCAGCAGGCTCACCTCACAATGGCATTGGAGCCGCCCTTGTGGTAGTAGAGGGCACCGTTGTAGACCGCGTGCCCGCAGCCGTGGAAGTAGTGCGGGAGCAGGATGGATGAGTAGCTGCCGTTCAGGAGTGAGGCCTGGTCCTGGAACTCCTTCACCAGGATGCCTGCCGGGGGGTGCCACAGGGCTGGCCTAGGTCAGGCCTGGTGGGAGCGAGTGCCTAGGGTCCCCCTTCCCGTGGGAGGGCCCCACGGGCCACTGAAAGTCCCAGGCAGAGCTGTCCCGGAACTGACTTTGCCCTGCTGCCCCCACAGTGTGTAGGGACAGCAAACACTGGGGCTCCTGCAGTGACCAGGCTGGCACAGGCACGGCCAATGTGCTATGTCACTGTACAGAGGCACCCGTCCTTTCGGGCCCGAAGCCTTCTCAGCCGGCACTGCCAAGCAGTGAGCCTCGAGGAATAAAGACACTGTTTCTGGGGAGCCGTCTCTCCAGCCAGGACTTCTGCCGGGCCCTTCTGGAAGCAGCTGTGTGACTGCTGGGAGCAGTTCCTGCCCACCTCCCTCAGGGACAGTGTGACCAGGGCCTTTCCCCTTCTCCCCAGCTGTCTGTCCAGGAGATATCCTAGAAAATGGCCCAAAGTACGCTCCTAGGACAGTGCCAGGCCTAGAAAGACGGGTGGCCATGAGGAGTCCCTGCTGCGTCATGGTGTGGGGGTCTAAGGCCTGCAGTCGCCACACCATCTGTGTCCTTCTGGACGCTTGGCCTCCAGTGGGACAGGCTCCCTGGGGTTCCCTGAGCATGGCTGCCACCAGTGTGTTCAGAGAGGGAAGAGAGGGAGCATTTATCAGACCGATAACAGCCGGGGTGTCCATAGGGTTTACACATGGAAGTAGGATGCTCTGAAGGAAAGAGGAAGACTACAGTGACCACATAGGTCAGAGCAACTGCTGAGTAAAGGCACCTGAAAAGTGTTCAGTCACCCAGATCCGCTCATCACTGCTGTTAGCAGACTCTCTTATCCACGTCCCGAAGGTATCTGTCACTTTCAGTACTTGCGTGGGGTTTCCAATGGAAGCAATCATGGATTCTGCCAAAAGAAAAGACAAAAAATTACCTGCCACTTAAGACTTCAAGGCATCCAATGTTTTTCTTTTTTTCTTTTCTGTTTTTCAGGGCTGGGATTCAACCCAAGGCCCTGCACGGGTATGCCAAGGCCCCCCCGAGGGCAGCAGTCCCAGGATGTTTTGCGCTGTACCTGCTCGTGGGGAGTGCTGTTCACGGACTTTCTCATCAGCTTTTCCCACCAAGGTATCATCGTTGGGTGCGGCACATGTCTCCCCTGAAAGAGCAATATCGAAGCAGACGTGGCTGGCACGGTGGGATGACTGGCTTTACAGCTGCCTCTGTCCCCAGCTCATTCCAGCCCCCAGCCCCCAGCATCCCTGTGACACAGGTCCAACTCGTTTCTTGCAACCTTGGGCCACGTGCTGCCCTTTCTCCCCACTTGGTGAGCTCCTGGCAAGTGACCCACGACCAGTTGCTAGGATAGCACAATTCTAAGAGGACAGGGGTGTCTCCATCTGTTCCTTGCTGCTGGAGGGAACACCAGAGACTGGGTAGCTTGTGACAGACATGGTATGGGAGATGGGCAGTCTGAGACAGAGGCGGGATCTGGTGAGGGCCCCTGGCTGTGTTGTGACATGGTGGAGGCTCCCACAAGGATAGGCTGGCACCCATCCTAGTGAGGGACCCTCTCCTGAGGTAACGGGTGAAGGCAGAGCCCTCATGACCCAGTCACCTCTTAAGGACCCTGCCTCCCATCACAGTCACATGGGATTAAGTTTCCAGTGAGTGTGCTTGGGGACACATTCGAGCCACAGTGCTCAGTAATGGGGACAAAGTGGCCTGAGTCAGCCTGCGGAGCCCTCAGCCTGTGGAAGGGAGAGGCTGACACCTTCCTGGTCTCCCTGCGGGGGTGTGTGTCTCGCACGGGGGAGCAGGTAGGAGCTGGGAAGGTGCAGCCTCAGGATAAGGTGGCCTGGGACAGGTGTCAGGGGTGGAGTCACAGAGCCTCTGAGGAGGAAGGAACCAACGAGCTTCCTGGCCTGGGCCACCATTCCTGACCTGCTGGTCCTCTTCATGAAGACCTGCGGGGACACAGGTGCTGCCTGGGTGCCTGGCTCATGGGGGTCGGAGGCTCCTGCCTTGTCAATGGTCCTCTTAGCATGGTGGCCAGTGGGCAGGTGACAGGACTGGCCTCGGGCTGTGGACTAGGCCAGGCAGGTGCTCTGGAAGGGGCCAGGCCTGCTCACCTGGGCAAACCCTGACAGAAAGGGCAGCCCCTCCACTGGCCTAGGAGCTCTCAGGAGAGCTGAAGGCACCACACCCTCAGGTCTCCCGCTGGATGAGCTCTTCCTCTGAAGCCCCCAGGACACAGTCTCGGAACTGTCACAACCCCCGAGTGGGATCTCGCTGCCTCTGGTCTCTATGCTCTGGGAATTAAAGGGCATTAAAGAAATGGAGGCTGAGCAGGGAAGAGGGGCAAATTCAGACGAGGAAGCCAGCAGCCCAGGGGTCCATTCCTCAGGCAGAGTGAAGACAGCGGCCTCTCAGTGAAGGCAGCTGTCATGACGGTGGATGGCGACAGAGCCCCTGGCAAACAGGGTTTCTGCAAAGGCTCAGATCAGGCCTCTTCTCCCAGGTGACAGGCGCACTCACTCAAGGGGCCCACGAGGAGGGGGCTTCTGCCACTCAGCATCAACCCCGGGGCTGAGGGCAGAGCAGTGTCAGGCTCCACTCCCCAGGGGCAGTGACATCTTTGAAAGCCCAGATGCATCCTCCTGGCCAGCTGAGTGCTGGGCCCTAAGCGGTCCTCCTGGGAGAACAGTGCACCGCACACCCTAGTCTGTAGAAGGCTGGGGGAGACTCCAGCCGGGCTGGCTGCATGTCCTGGAGGGTGAGGTGGCCCGTCCTGGGTCAGCTCGTTCTGGAATAAGGGCTAAAGTTGCCTAGAAGCACTTCCCACTCCTGTGACACTTGATTTCCAATGAACTTGCGATCTCACAGGGCCTCTGCCACAGACCTGTGGCAGAACAAGTCCCCCATGGCCACCAGATGCCAGGGACTCCCCACCCCTGGGTGGCTGGACCAGGTCCCTCTCTGGAGGAAGATGCTCTCAGAGCTGGGGCTGCACAGCCAGGAGCCTGTGTTTGAGTCCCTAACGCAGTGGCCCCGGACAAGGGACTTGGCTCCTCGGTATCACTTCTGAATGGCAATATGGAGACGATGCGGATGCCACTATGGTAGGATGGTTGTGAGGATCAAAGGAACAAAGCACCCAGCACCAGGGCGGGCACTTGGTCAGCATTTAGTCATGGGGGCGGAGCCTGGGGTGTGGCCCACTGGAGGAGGGCCACAAGTCCCACCCTCTGCTGTGATGACATCTGTGGGCGTCCACCCGTGCATCTGCCCTGTCAGTGCCAAGCGGAGCCTCCATCCAGCCCATCACTGCTGCAGAGGGTCAGCAGCTTCGCCTTCAAGGGGCTTCAGCGGGGAGAGGGGGCCGACAGGGAGGGGAGGGGCTGATGATGAACAGGAGAGGCAGGCACGAGGGCTGGGGACTCCATCTTCCACCTGTCCTCTTTCCCGGGAGCCCACCCAGGCCTCTCGTGAGCAGCTGCAATGGGGGATTCACATTTGGGGGAAGATCGCCTCCCTCTGTTTTAGAAACCTGGCCACAAAGCCTGGGGTGCAGACCAGAGTTTGGGGTCATGTGTGGAAAGGTGGACACCCTGGGGCAGGGCTTGGTGACCTGAGCACTGGCCGTTGAGCGTGTTTGGCTGCTGAGGGCCCTTGACTCTTCTGGCTCCAGGCGGCCCAGGCGGGCCGGGAGGACCTGGGGGCCCAGGCGGGCCAGGGGGGCCTTGGTCGCCTTTGGCACCTGGAGAGAGAGCGAGAGAGGAGAGAAATGGAGAGAGTCCTGCTAGGAGGCAGAGTCTGGTCAGGGCAGGCCAGTCACGGGGCGTGGCCAGAAGGGCGAATCGGTGCCCTGCCCTTCGCCTCTGCTTCCTGGCTCCCACAATGGGAGCCCCTTCCCTCGCCAGGCCCTTCCGCCACGCTATTTCTGTACTGAAACCAGCTGACCGTGGGGTCAAACTTCGGAAGACAAACCTCTCCTCCTTTAAGTTGTGAGTGTTAGGTATTGCGTCCCAGTGACGAGCAAGTGACTAAGACACTAGCGTGAGGCAGTAGTGCGGTCCCCGGGAGGGGAAGTGACCCGGCCGAGGTCGTAACCTGTCCAGCGAGGACTGGGCCTGAGGCGAGCTCATGGCAGGCTCTGCTTCCGTTCAGTTTCCCCCGCGGCCCGTTTCTTCCTCTCCACGTGCTTCCCATCCCTCCCTGCACTCTGGGGACTAATGAGGTCGCTGCTGTGCAAGACTTCACAGCTCTAATCCCAGCCCACGTGGAGGCAGCCGCCTCTGGCTGCGAGTGCCCAGCGGGTGCCGGCCTTTCAAGGATCAAGTCGGTTCTGGAGCCCTCATAAAGATGCCACTCTGGGCTGGCAGCCCTTTGGGTCTCTCCCCCCGGGTGGAGGTCGACAGCCACGGTCCCTTCCACTGCCTTGCCCCAGCCAGGGCTGCCGGCCCTCTTCAGTCTCTAGGGTGGGCCACAGGATGGGGCCGGAGCTGGGCCTCTGTCCAACCCCGAAGGGTGGGGATCCCAGGCAGAATGAGCCGCCCGCTACTCCACCCCACTCCAGCAGAGGGCGCACTCAGCAGTTCCCCTCTGGCCTGGTCTGAGTTGCCGTGCACTCAACACTCAGGGATGATGTTTTCCAGAATGGCTTCTTCTCGACACTCACTCAGCCAGCATCAGGGCAATGTGATACGCGGGGTGAGTACTGGCGGTGATCGAAGTGGATGGTGAATAGTTCAAATTTTTAAAATTTGTTAGAGTAACAGACACATTGCCATGAATCCCCTTAAAAATTCTCTCCCTCATTTCTAACACACTTATCTCATTGTTCTTGCCACTTTCTGAAGCAGTTCTGGGAGTCTTTTGTGAATGCCTTTATTAGCTGCGATCAAAAATATGGTGAGTGGTGCTGCTGAGTGCCATTCCTTGGAAAGGCAGTTCGTAAAAACATGACAGCATGTCCTCATCCTCCTTATTCACTGGATCTGGCACTGCGTGACTTCTGGATTTTCCCCAAAGTCAGTGTTTTGAATCAATTCAGGACACTGAGGCAGCTATGCTAGCACAACTAAAGACCCTCAGGGAAGAGGACTTCAGAGCTGCTGCAGAAAGTGCAGAACCAAGGGACAAGTGTGTCTGGAGTGAAGGGGAGTGTGTTTTGGGAGGATTAGTGGAATGTGTCTTTTACTGTAACACACTTAAAAAAGTTTAAGTATGCACTGTATTTTTCCATCACACTTCGTAGTGGTCCTATTATAGACAGCTAAGTTAGGTAGAAATATTACAGGCAACCAGATAGGGCTGGGTCAGGACAAAGGTGAGTCACATTACAACTGTGGCTGGAGACACATCTGCTGGAGACCAGGCCTCAACATAAAGATGAAATGATCAGGCCTGCATATTTCCCCAAAGGACAAGATGAGCAGGAACACCTGGCCTAATGAAGTCCAGATAGACATCAGTCACCCTGGGGATGACCAAGACCCCTGGACCCATCATTTTCTAAAAAATGTCTTTGTTCTCTCCATGCACACTTGTTATGTGACTTGTCCCCCCCACTGGATCACTGTTACCTAAGTGACTACTCTTGTAACCTTATTGGTTCATCATAGCTGTAACCCACAATGCACCCATATGGCTTTTGCTCTATAAAACTTCCCTATAAAGCAGAGTCCTCAGCTACCCATTCGGAATCTCTCCTGATGCTCAGCAGCTATCTTCTCAATACATGTTTTTCTACTCTTAAACTCTGTTGTTCCTAGAACTCATTCTTCAACTTTAGAGAACATGAACTCGGCGTATCAGACACCTAACAGATTGGGAGATATAATATTTCCATGATATCATTTAGAGGTCATATCTTATCTCCTGATAACATTTCCTATACCAGTAGCATGGTTTATGAACTTGATTCGTGCCGTGATTCTGGTCCTGAACCCAGTTGGACGAGAACTGAATCAAACTCAGTGCTTAGGCTCAGTGTTGACCTTATGGGGAGATTTGATTCAGTTGTCGTCCAGTTTGATTTGTGACCAGAATGGGGGAGAGAGTTGTGTTTGTGAACTGAGGTACCATTGTATTTTTTTGGGGGTACCAGGGATCGAACTTGGGTCCTTGTGCTTGCACAGCAGGTGGCAAAATCACTGAGCTAAATCCCCAGCCCTAAGGTGCCATTGTATTAACAGAATAGTTGCGTTTTTATGACATAGATGGTCTCCCAAGTATGGTGATTTTCAAATTCTTTGTGTCTTCTTCCATGACAATCAGCGATCACCAACTCTTGCTGCCCCAGCCTCGTCTAAACAGACACCAGCTACCTCTTTACTCTGGACCAGAAGAGCAGTCACTGAACGCTGCCCCAACCCGAGGGCAAACAGCTCAGGGCTTGCGGATGGCTCATCCTTGACTGTGAGGAAATGCTTGTGTCGCTGGCCACTGAGGAACCTCCAGTGGCTTGGTTGCCTTCCTCTTCTGGATTGTGCTGGATTTCAACAGACATTTCTAAAAAGGAAGCTTCCTTCATCCCACTGAATCCAACCATGGCTTTTAACTCTGGTTATTTAAGTGACTCATACTAGCCAGCTGTGTTGCTGCATTCCTCTAACGCCAGAACTTTGAGGCAGAAGGATCACAAGTTTGAGACCAGCCTAAACAACTTGGTGAAACCATATTTCAAAATAAGAAATAAAAAATGGGCTGCGAATGTAGCTCAGTGTAAAGGGCCGGGTTCAATCCCAAATACTGGAAAAAAAAAAGCTTATGCCTAGATCTAGATATGGTCTTGCTTACATGGAGAAACACAGTTTTCTCCTCTTTGAATGTACAGAATTCCGGAAGTTTCTGCAGAATAGAAGGAGGGCCATGGACAGCGACAGAAAGAGAAAATGTGGCCGCCCTTGGAGAGGAAACCAAACAGGCCCCTACCTGCCGGCGGCACGTCACTGGACACATCTCCTTTGTCTCCCTTCTCCCACTTCGGCCCTGGTGGGCCCTCATTTCCAGGCAGGCCCAGCTCCCCGGGGTCTCCCTTTTCTCCCTTTTCTCCTGGATTTCCTATGGCTCCAGGCAACCCTGAAAGAGGAAAACAATCCATTAGCCTGTTGTGCAAGAAGCCCTGGTGTACCACTTTGCAATGACTGCATGCTTGGGGCGAAGCAGTTCTCCAAACCAAACACTGACACTCTCAAGTGTTTGAGGGCAGCCACACGGCCATTGTTCATCAGAGCACAGCATTCCCAGGTGGCTCTGAGGGCCTGCATCTTTAGTGGAGAGGCTGGAGACAGGCGCAAAGCACAGGAGGAAGGATCACGGCCATGGCAGGGAGCAGGTGAGGAGCCCTAACGGGCCTGGCACCACCTCCAGAGGGTGCGTGGGCGCCATAATGGCAGGTGGCACTTGTAATGGCACGAGGTTTATTTCTCATGCACTGGAGTGCTGGCCGGGCAGCTGTCCTAACTCTCACTTTATCAGTGTTTTCTGAAACCAAGGCCAAGTGACTAAACTGATGATTCTAGGACAGCCACAAAAGGCCTCTGATTCTGTCTCCACTGCCCACTGGTTTCACATTGTAGTGCACTGCTCCAAGCTACATCATCAGACCAGGGGACGTCCTCTGGGACAACCATGAGGAGGGATGGTGACAGTGTGGCCACATCTCTGCCTCCACTGTGGGCAGCCACGACTGTAGGGACTGCAGAGAGAAATCAGCACAGATCTGAGAGACAGCGGGTCTCACTGCCAGCGGCATGGGAGGGTGAGCCCAAGCAAGGCCTGGCAAACTCCGGGTCCAGGAGCCAAAGACCGGTCTGGCGAAAGGGAGATGGCCAGAAGCTGCAAGAGAGAATTTCAGCAAGCAGAGGGCCGTGTAGCATGAAAATTAAAGGGATCTCACAGCAAGAGCTGAACCTTTCAGAATGAAGCCCGGCAGGCACTGAGCACGAGGCAGAGTTTAGGCTGGATCCCCTCACCCATGGGAACTTGCTCAGCTCCACCCTTTGACCCGAAGGGATCAGGAGACACGGAAACAACAATTATTTCACACAGTCACAGGTCAAGAGGCTTTGGCACTCTTGTTCTGTGGACATTTCCATTCTGTTTATACAGCCCTTTTCTTTTTCAAGTTTTTGAGACAGGGTGTCACTATATAGTCCAGGCTGGTCTTACACTCATGATCCTCCTGCCTCAGTCTCCAGAGTGCTAAGATCACAGGTCTGCACCACCACGAAAACTTACAGTCTTTTACATGGGTTTGACGTTGAGATCTGCTGCCCACTAATACTGCTGCTTCCTTGAGGAGGGAGAATGCACAATTTACAGGTGAACAGGACGGGTCCAGAGCCCAGGTTCCAGGGTTACTGTGTTTTAAGGAATTTTTGTTTTAGGACTTTTTTTTTTCTTCTTTTAGTTTCCTAAAGTTGTGCTTTTTCTTAAAAGTACAATTTTAAAATCCCAACTTTCTTGTCACCTTTTGGCCTATTTAAAACAAAATTTCTTCTACTCTACTTCACTCTCTATTAAAGATCCTGCAGACTCTGGCCCCGGCCATGTGGAACGTGGTAACTGTGGAGAGATGGGGCGTTTCCTGTCCTCAGCCACAATGATCTCCGGCTTCCTTAGAAGAGCAGCCATTTACTGTTAGCCTTGGCAGCTGACCTGGTGATCTCGTGGCTTAGGTAAGCTCAGAATGTGTTAAGCTCATCAGACTGCCAGCCTCCACCAAGTCTAAGGAGAAGAATGCTACAACATCTGAATCTATGCACAAGATTCACCTCACTTTGCTGTAGCCCACTACCTAATGCTCCCGCTAATGTATCTGCCGAGTGTATTGATTTGTGATTCTCTTTGTTCCTTGGCTATAAAAGTTCATGTAACCTCTTTCACTTTGGAAATCATCATGTAGAGAAACTTGAATCCATATTCCCGGCCAAGGTCACTCATATCTGGCTCAGAATAAGCCACTTTCTTACTTACTTATGGCAGAGCTATTATCGCGCATGGAGTGGACAATAGGAAGGACTCTGGACGGGTCTTATAATGAGGCTCAGTGAGACCCAGGGTACAGACAGCTACCGGTCCCTCATTACAGAGCTTACCAGCAAGCTGGGAGGGTCCAGACGGATTTGCCTTCAAGAACAGACCCCAAAACTTAAATCACTCAGCCAGTGCAATTCAGCATTAACAACAAAAGCAAGAAAAAAATCATGTGATCATCTCAATGAGTGCAGAAAAGGCATTTGATAAAATTCAACATCCATGCTACTAACGATTCTCATCAAACTAGGAATAGAAGGGAACTTGCTCAGTCAGAAAAAGAGCATCTACGTAAGCTTAGTTCTAACACCATCCTTCCCAGAGGGAGACCAAATGCATTCTCCTAACATCAGGATTGAGAGCAGGGCTTCTACAATCATCAGTTTTTCTGTTTTATGGTACAGGGTTCTTGGAGCCCTGCACAATGCTGGATAAGTGCTCTACCGCTGAGCTACATCTCTAGCTCTTTTACTTTTTTTTTTTTGGTACCGGGGATCGAACTCAGGACCTTGGACTTCCGAGGCAGGCAACGGAACCACTGAGCTAAATCCTCAGCTCTCTAGCTCTTTTAAATTTCAATTTTATTTTGAGACAGTGCCTCACCGAGTTGCTAGGCCGGCCTTGAAGTTGTGATCCTCCTGCCTTAGCCTCCTGAGTAGCTTGTATCACAGGTGTGCCACCACATCTGGCTACTCTCACCAGCTTCCTCTTTTTAGTATTCTACTGGAGGTCCCAGTCAGTGCAATAAGGCAAGGAAAAAGAAGTAAAGGGCATTTTGGTTGGAAAGGTTAAATTAAACTTTTTATTTACAGATAACATTTACGTAGAAAATTTCAAGAAATAAAAGCTACTAGTGATGTAGAAAAGAAATGAAGGTAAATATTAAGGAGACAAGGAAATTATAATTTTGAGGAAATTTAATTTAAAAAAACCCCTAAAAATCTGTGGTTTTAAGACATAATCAAAGGGGAAGGGGAAGTGGGAGGAGTAGGGGAAAGGACAGAAGGGAATGGAATTAATATGAGAAAATGGAAACAAAGTCTCTGTAAATAGGGAGGGGTGGAGGGGTTGAAGGGAGGGCAGGGGAAGGGGGAAAAATAAGAACCAAGAGAGATGATGTAAAGGTCCAAATTTCCAATGATGAATGTCATTATATTGTATACCTAAAATGTACCAATAAAAGGATTTACAAAAATAAATAAATACATAAAATGTTAAACCTTGAAAAAAAAAGACATCATCAAAGTTACCCAAGATTCACAGCTCAGCCTGGCTTTTAGCTCCAGGTTCCTCACTCCTAAACTCTAGAGTCTTAAAGATACAATAGATGTTACAAATCCATAAATTCCACAGACTTCCACCCTTAAAGAAACAGTTCTATCAATCGGGTACCATGTCACTAAACACATGCAGACTGCATCTTAACCCAGCTGGTAGAGTCAGTTTTTACTTTAGCCTGCTAACGGGTAACCTGAAAGGCACTAGGTAAAAAGTAACTCAAGGTGCAGACATCCCGAGTCATCACCTGGAGGACACCCCAAGGCCAGGTAAACACCCTGTCCAGGCCCCACAGCCCACCCTGGAGTGTCCGCTGATTCTGCCTAAGGAATCTGCCTTGGCTCTCGCTGACCCACCGTGAAATGCCTGTCTGTGATGACCAGTGAAGAACCCGGCCAGGTGAGGTCCACATCTCCTCTTTAGGGGGACCTCCGTGGAGCCCAGTGACTCTTGACTCAGCACACAGGTACTCCTAAGGCCCAGTGAGGGAAAGGGGTTGCCCAGTATTACACAGGGCTTGCTAGGTATGACCAAGTGACAACTGCTCTATCTGCAGATACTGGCCCACTTTGATCAGAGTCCTTTGAGGATGTTGGCCAGCAGGGACACTGCTCAGAGCTGCAGCTTTCAGGGAAAAGGAAGCGCGAAGCCTGGGTGAGCGCAAGTGAGCCTTTAGTTCCTCTCAACTTCCACAACCCCGAGGGTCAGGATTCTGCCCTCTCTGACTACCCTGCCAGTTCCCATGTTCCTTCTTCTGGCCCTGGCTAAGTGACTGCAGCTTTACCCCTCTTCCATCCCACAGACCTGATCAGTGCCCCATCTCCAGGTGCCACTGCTGGCTTTTACAATGTCCTCCCTCCTTCCTGCCAGCTCTGCTGGGGGCAGTACTGTCTCTCAAGAGGCTCCATGCTGGACGACGCCGAGCGGGTCACCCTCCTCCAGCCCCATGGGCTCTGTGTGATATGGGACGGGCTGGACACTGCCTGGCATGGAGTCAGCACTTCCTAAGCTTGGAGGGCCTGCCATGTGCTTCAGAGGGTAAGTACTCGAGTGGTTGCTGTCTGGCACGTTCACGGGATTGTCCACAGACCATCCCAGTAAGGCAGTAGTGCACAAGAGCCTCACGGTATTTATCACTGTAGAAAGTACAGAGAACAAAGAAACATTTGCTCAGTTATTGCCAAACACTTAAAAAAAATCCTAGTGGAATCCGTGAGGTTCAGCTAGTGCTGAGAACCAGAAGGCCTGGGAGTGACAACTCACCCGAGGGAGGAGTGGGGCACACAGGGCCCTCCCATTGCCAGTGCTCGCTCCCTGTGGACCCAGTGCCATCAGGAAGACTCAGCAGTACTGACCACTGAGGGGGTCCAGGGGAGAATGTGTCCCTCAACAGCGTGAGACCGTGGCTGGGGGCCATCCCACTGAGGTCACTAGCACATCTGGCTGGAACGTGGCTCCCACAGGGGAGAAGGGGTCAGTGGAGGCCTCTGCATGAGAAGGAGCTCCTTTGTGAGGATTTCAATAGGCAATCTGGCCCACTGAGGGACGGAGACAAAGCCCAGGATGTTGCCATAGAGCCCACCCACTCGCTCTGTGCCCATCCCTTCTGCAGCTCTCACTGGGGTCCATTAGCTGTGCTCAGAAACCGAATCTGCCAGTTGCTCCTGGGCTTTCTTTCTCAGGCATTTATTCCAGCACAAAGAGCCCTTGGGCAGCATTGCTCAGTTTCCTCTTCCTTTCTTTCCTGCCCACCTCTGAGCTCTTTTATTTCCTTTCTCCAAAAGGCCATGTGTGAAACAGGACAATGCCACGACACAGCGCAGCCCCTGTGGCGTGGCCCCGTCTATGGAGGGGGGCGGGTCTAAGGGCCCTCAGCGGGGCCATGGTCATCTCCAAGCTTTCACTACAGGAGGGCAGCGTGGCGCACGGTCTGCCTTCACTCTCTCGTGTTTAAATTTCACTTTTAATTGCCTATGTGTCACACATACTGATCACATCCATCACAGGGAATTGGCCCTGTTCCTAATATGTCTTCATTCTTTGTTCCCACTCCCCTCCCCTCCTATCAGTTCTTCTCCTCCTCACTTACAAAAGCTTGTTTCCATTTTTCCCTCTCCCTTTTCACTGTCCCCTCCCTTGCTCTCGTTCCCATTTGGACACATCCTTCATACTCCCCACTAGCTGTCCTCCGTCGTGCTCTGTATTTGCTTTTCGGGTTTCTCACACACGAAAAACAATCTTCGCCCTCTCGCTGACCATCGAATCTGGCCAAGTGTCCCCTCCTCTTTGTCGATAAAATCAACACCATGGCCATAGTGTCTGAAAGAGAACACTAGCTCGTTGCCATTCACACCATCGGTCCAGTGTGCGACATTCCCGAACTCGGGAGGTCAGAGATGGCCCCCACGGCAATGCCATGACACCACGAGATGGGGACCGGGCACCTCTGTCCCTCGACTCCTGGCTGGCTTGAGTAGGCACATTCCCCACCCAGAAACCCAGATTCTGCCCGCCTAACTCCTGCAAGAAGTGGTGCTCTGCTATTTTTTTCTGCTGCTGCCCACTGGAAACAAACAGTTCCACTGGCGTTGGCGTCAGAGTCCAGGGTTGTGTGAGAGCGCAGGGCTGGGGTCCGCTCTGTCATCCTCTCTGCAGGGGCTGAGGGAGCACAGCTTATTTTTGGCAGCACCAGCTGTCGCTAAGGCGGGGGAAAGGGGACTGGAGGATGTCACACAAATCCCAGTCCCAAGATGTCAAGAAGGAGGGGCTGTTTACCCGTTTTTTTTTTTAGAATGAGCATTTGATTTTTAGAGAGGACCTTGCTGCATTAACTCTTAAGTGGGAAAATGAAAGCCAGACAGAAAGAAATCCTTGATTTTGAGGCGCCTAATGGTCAAACTTCATAGAAGATGCTGCTCGCACAGTGGACAACGTTGGGGTCTCTTTCCATTCCAATTCTCTAATCCACGTGTGTATTTTCAAATGGACACAGAACATGTCTGACTGGTTTCCTTCTGGCCAGGACATGCTGTTAAGTGCAATCCTCAGACACAGAAGGGCAAATACCTTGTGTCCTCGCTTAGACATGGAAGACCCGAAAGAAGCAGAGAGCAGATGAGCAGCCACAGAGCCTGGGGAGGAGATGGGAAGGCTGCCGTGCAGAGAGGAGGGTCAGCGGGCACAGGGCACACCCAGCTAGGGGTACAACACATGACAACTGGGGCTCACACGACCAGTTGACTACGTCAACACAGCTAATAAGAGTTGATCTGGATGTTCCTAGCACAAAGAAATGCCATTGTCTGAGTTGCTGGATGCACCAGGTACCCTGGTTTGATCGTCACACGTGTGTACATGTACTGAAATGTCACACTGGGCCCCACAAATAGGTATAATTAGAATGTGTCCACTTAAAAAGCATACATTTGGGCTGGGGATTTAGCTCAGTGGTTTCGCCGCCTGCTGCGCAAGTGCAAGGACCCGAGTTCGATCCCTGGTACCCCCCCCCCACAAAAAAATGCATACATTTGTTTTTGCAGTACTGCGGCTGGAACCCAGCATCTTGTGCATGCTAGGGCAAGTGCTCTGCCAGTGAGCTACAGTGCCAGCTTATTTAAAAATTGTATTTTGAGACAGAGTCTGACTAAATTGCCTAGGCTGGCCTCAAACTTGTGATCTCAGCTTCGTGAGTAGTGGGGATTATGGGTGTGCACCAGCAGATCCAGCTGAAATTATATTAATAGAAGAGTTTAAAAGTTGAACAAGCCAAAATGAAAAAGTAATCAATGACTGAACAAAAGAATGAAAGAGAAGACTTCCTTCTGATGTAAAACCGAGCTTTTCCGTCCCCGTTGCTATAGTCAACAACAACAGCCTACGCCAGAACAGAATTTACCCCGTCGGGGCTTGTTCTGAGCGCTTCCCGCTTCCTGCGTACTAGCTCATCTAACCTTCCCAACAGCACCCGAGGCGGGCACCGTTAGCGCCTCCATTTTACAAACAAGGAATCTGCGCCACAAAGCGACCAAGAAACCTGCCGGGGGGCAACAGCTAGCGAACAGAACAGAACAGAACAGCCGGGGCAGGGCGCCGGGCTGAGGTGCCTCTGCGCTGCTCCGCCCTGTTCTCGGCACTGCTCCGCGGAAGCTGGGCCCTCCGATGCTGCCTCAGTCGGGTCTCTCCGGAGTCCCAGGGGCTCCGCCTTGCGCCTGCTCACACGCAGCTGCAGCTCCCACCATACAAGGTGGCTGTGCGGCCCTCGAGCCCCGGCCTCTGGCCCTCCCCACCTGGCCGCTTGTTTCCCTGCTGCCCTCTGTCTCCTGGCTTCCTTGTTCTCTGCTCTCTCTGCAGGCCCGGCCCAATCCGGCTCCCGTGGGTCCCTCTCCACACAGGGAGTGCAGGCTCGCTCTTGGGCAGTGCTGCCGGCCGCACTGAATCCACGGTTGCTGACAGGCCTGCTCTTTGAGCCTGCCTGCAAGCTCTCAGGGACAGATGCTGTGTTCCACTCGTCTCCTTTATGCATTCACTCATTCTTGTGTGCACTTATTCGTTCTCCACTCAGCGGTGATGTATTGCGCCTCCGCCAGGGCTAGCTGATAGGAGTGACGAAAACAGAATCGATGAGACAGTTCCTGCCGTCATGACAAGCACTATAGCGGAATATTTAAAACGGGAAGCTGGGATAGAGCTGTGACCCCACGAGGAGGTCAGGCGAGATGGGGGAGTGGTCCCCCAAGGCCTTGGGCCAGCAGGGGACGTCTCCTAGAGTGCCCCCGTCCTATCTGCTAGGCAGGCTGCTGGTGGGGCTGCGTGCCTCCCCTCACGAACGTCCCCAGGCATGGTCAGCCTTCCTCACAGTCCCTGTGCCGTGCGGGGGCCTCTCCGACAGCCCCTCACTCACACCTGGGGCCAGGCCCTTGGCCGGAAGCTGAGCAGCCCTGTGGTTAGGACCAGGGACAGGAGTCAGAGACACCTGCGTCTGAGCCCCACCCGATGCACTCAGTAGCTTTTTTTCCTTTTTAAGTACTGGGGATTGAACCAAACTCTCTATCATGGAGCTACATCCTCAGACCTTTTTTCTTTTTATTTTGAGACACAGGCTTGCTAAGACAGGCTGGCCTTGACCTTGTGATCCCCCTGTCTCAACCTTCCAAGTAGCTCGGAATACCGGTGTGCGCCACCATACTTCAAAACAGAATCTTCAGAAGAGCTATTTCCTGTCCCTGGGACCTTTCATTTTCCCTAATAATCCCGTTTCCCACCTCCCATGGGAGGAGAGGTGTGCCCGCCCCTGAGTGATGGTGGGCGGGGCAATCACATCCGGCAGCTGCCGCCTGCCCAGAGTGAGCTGTCCACCTCTTCTCCTGCTCCAGGCCTTCCTCACTGTCTGCCAGAAATCAGGTGTCTTCTTTGTCCCACAGAGCCAGGGCCACTTCTGCGTCTCAGCGTCTAGAATAGCACCTGCCTACAAAGGCTGGTTCTGTAATGGAGTGGCCTTTTCTTTTCTGTCACCCCTGGCTGAGCTGGCCGTCTGTCTCCAGGCCTTTGGGGAGCCACTCCTTTTCTGCTGGCCTTGCCTCGTCCTGGCCGGGACCCCATCCCGGGCGTGTCCCCATCAGCTCAGCACTGAGTGCCCAGGTCACACGCTGGGGTCCTCCTGGGACAGACTACTGTGGTCATTCTACACTGCTGTGCATCTGTGATTATAACTATTAGACCAGGCCTCGCCACTTTAATCCCTCCTGTAATCGCAGCCTCTGCAGCCCAGGCTGCCCTGGACCACGCTGTGCCCTGGGCCGGACATGGGTGGGTGGGTGCGTGGCTGAGGGCAGAGCCGCCTGGCAATCTTCTCCCTCTCCCCCGGGCCTCACTTAAACCATCAGGGGAGCAACAGCAAGGGTGCTCAGAAGGCCGGCTGTGCTGCTGAAGGAACCAGTGAGCCTTCCTCCAGGTGGGCCTTCTGGGTGGGCCGCACCCTGCAGCCCAGGATTGGACAGATGAGGTGAGCTGGGCTCCACCTAAAATCAGCCTCCCGGCCCACAGCAGCACCCCGGAGCTGGCCTTCCTGCAAGCTTCTCAGTGGTCGCTCCTGCCCTGCCTTCGAGGCCTCTCCCTCCATGGGCCAGCCCTTGGGCAACCTGCTGCCTCATCCAGGGACCCCAGGATGGGCGCCCCAGCCTAGCCCAGCCTCTGCCAGGATGCACCAGCCTGGCTCTCTGCCCTCCGGACACACCTGGCATCCTGCGGCCTCAGGGCTTTGCTAGGTGCTGGCAACGCCCTGGTCAACCGGCTCAAGTCCCCCAGCCACACCCCCAGCCGAGCGCCAGGGTCCGAGATGCCCGGACGCTGCTGTCCCCCTCCCGCGGGTGGATCCTGCAGCCCGGAGCAGGGCCACGAACAGGCCCGGCGTCAGTCCAGGGAGTTTCCACCCCCAAGGACTCGTGGGGCGGGGGCGGCAGGGCAGGGCACAGCATGGGTGCCACCCTGCAGCTGGCACAGCCCGCAGTGCTCCCTCCTCAGCCTGCTGGCTCCTGCCCCGTCTGCCTCCCTCTGCATCAGAGCAGAATGGGAACCAATTCCCAGGGACACTGACGGACTGTCCAGTTTGACATAAGTTTGGACAGAAAAGATGGCACCTAGCACGGAAAAGCTTCCAGGCAAGAGTAATCCAGCCCGGGGCAGGAGGTGCAGCAGCTGAGCCCACCCCAGATGCAGCCACGGAGCCGAGAAGCAAGGCAGTTGATTAGACAAGTTGCCACAATACCCATTTTTCCTCTTTTTCCATTCACTCCTTTTTCGCCTTTTGGGCCCTGTGGGCCGGGTTGTCCGTTGGATCCATTGTGTCCTGGTAGCCCACCGAGTCCTGGAGGTCCTGAGCCAAAACACGGAAACAGGGCTTAGAACAGAACCTGCACTGACGTCGATGTCAGCCCCTGTAGGCAAGGAGAGAGCAGCTTCCTCTCCCACGGTGGCCCTTCCTTCTCTATCTGAAGCAGGGACAGCTGGGGAACAGGAGGGCAGGACCTGGGTGACAGGGACGGGCGGGGGGAGCCAGCTGCCCCCTCTTCCCTTCCCCACCTGGCTCCCCTCAGAGGGCCCGGGATCTGGCCACCCATCTTCCCATGAGCGAAGACAGGCCACAGCACCTACCTGAGGGGCCAGGCGGTCCTGCAACAGAAAAGAAATTTAGCCGGTAAACTGCAGAGGAAGAAAGGAAACAGCACACCATCACTCTGCTCCTAAAATGTCCTAGAAACCCATCCCACATCTTGTATTTAGGGCTCATCATATGTGCCCATAAGAACAATTCAACAAACACTCATTTGCCAATCAAAGCACTTTTGCTTAAGTGTCAATGGGTTAAGGAACCTTTCTCTCTCTCTCTCTCTCTCTCTCTCTCTTTCTCTCTTTCTTTTTTTTTCTTTTTTAGAGACAGAATCTCGCTATGTAGTCCAGGCTGGCCCTGAACTCACTATGTAGCCCACACTGCCCCAGAATTCAAGGTGATTCTTCTGCCTCAGCCTCTAGAGTGCGCCACCATGCCTAGCAAGAATCATTTCTGAGCTAGCTTCACACATCACTCATCTCCAAAGCAGTCAGTCCGACTGAGCATCAGCTGCCGTGCAGGTGGCCCTGGGCGTCCTGCATGTGATCGTGCCTCACTGCAGGGCGAGGGCCACATTGTGACAGCAGTCCCAGCCCTCGCTTCCAGCCAGCCGGTCTCCTCCAGGGCTCCGAGGGTGATGAGGCTGTCACGAGCAGATTGAGTTTGCTGACTCTCAGGTTTGTTGCATGAGGTAGTCTGAGAAAACTTGAGGACTCAGATCAGGTAACAAATGCCTTCTTTAGTGTGAAATTACCCAAAGACCTAAGGGGTTTGGATGAAACTTTTACTCAACTGAGCAATTTTGCTTTCACAGTCTCTTCTTGTGGAGGAGTCTACATTTGTGGCTTGAGCATGCACACAAGCCAGTGAGGATGTCACACGAGAAGCTGCCAGAAAGTTGGCAGAAGTTGTACTCCTTTTTATTTCTCCAGACCACCTGTGATGATTACCAACATTCGGGTGCAAAGGTCTCTCCACAAACGCACGGCTGTGACCATTCAGAAATCAGCATTTGCTAAGCTCTTACTGTGTGCACCAACTCAATCAGTCTCAGTCCATGTCTGCAGACTCACATCTGCACAGGGAAGGGGACCCGTGGGAACCTCACTGCAACACGGGGAGCCATGAAGTCACCCCAGAGGAACCTGGGGGGAGCTTGGACACAGCTGTCTGAGAGGCTTCTGAGAAGGGGAGTCTTGACCCACAGCCCTGAAGAAGCAATGGGCCTATGCTATTGCCCTGAGGCCTGGGTGAACCGCGGAAGGGGCTGTGGGTCCACAGGTAGGAACTTGACAGATTTGGGGCAGGAGAAGAGGACTGGACAAACCAGAGTGGGTAGAGATGAGGTCGAATAGGGCTGTGGGCAGGGTAGTACTGAATCCAGACCAAGAGACTGCATAGGACAGAAGTGGGGGGCTCCACGAGGGTCTGAAGAAGATGGGGTGATGCTGGGAAATCAGTGTGGCTGGAAATGGATTAGAACTCGATGGACTGAGAGGAGAGAGACACAGAGAGACAGAGAGAATGTCCAGATCTTTGTAGCTAAAATCAAGGGTGGGACTGTGGCTAAGTGATGACAGGGAAAGCTAGGAGCTCCAGTGTTTCAGTGTAATGAGCAAGACTCCATATCTGATTAGGTAGGAGCCCTCTTGGGTACTCGGGGCCTGGAACACTGATGGCCGAGGCCAGGGACATGGGGAGCCTCAGAGAAATCAGGTGTTTGAGGGTATCTGCTCAATACACGCAGTCCCACTTCGGCCAGATGATTTGTGAAAATGGCCTCGCCTCTTCTGGTCAGTGCAGTCTGCGGCTACACAACATTGCCGCCAGATGGCGCACACACACCGGAAAGGAAGTGAGGCGGACAGGCGACAGAGGCCAGAAGGGCGGCTGGACAGTAGTAGCGCTCACCAGAGGAAGCCAGACCGAGTGTATGCAGTAGGTTTCAGAGTCCAGGACAGCCCCGCGGCCATGGCCATGGTGGGACAAGGCGACACTGCCACTGGAGGTGTGCACTGAGGACCTGCTGGCCCTGGCCAAGGTCTCCGGATGGTCACCCTGGTTACAGTTTCTGTGTGGGCCCCCCACAGCAGTGGTTGTTAAAGTGCAGCATCTGGGTCTCCTCTGGAGATCCTCGAGGCCCAGGAACCTGCATTTTTACCAAGGGCTGCAGACGACGAGGATGCAGGTGCTCATGGCCCCCCTAAGAAGTAGTCACATCCAGCCCATCCTATTCGGGGTGGAGTGAGGGGTCCCTGGTGGGGGAGATGCTTGCAGTCCTGGCCTGTAAGAGCACTGTCGTCCATTGCTCCCTTGTCTTCCTGTGGGGCGAGCTTAGTGCTTGGGGTTGAGACGACAGGGCCACAGCCGACAGCAGCCTGGACCCGGGTCACCAAAGGAAGCAGGACTTGTGGGAGAGCCACCCAAACATCGCTGGCTTTGCGGAACGACACATGAGCCTTTGCTGCGGCACATCACCGAGGCCTGCTGGGTGGATGCTACCAAGGCCTGGCCTTGCCTGCCTCCACAAACTGCCCTATCATTATCGGAACGGGTGACATGCCACCCGAGGTTGCTTCTCAGGTAAGCGCAAGTGGGTTCCTACACTAGCATATGGCAGAATCTTTTTTTTTTTTTTTTTTTTTTAAGAATGAGCTGTATTTAATTTTAAAAAGGGGAAGGGTTGTACCCCACAAATGATATAGTAATGCGGATACACAATCAAATCCCATAGCATGACTGAAGGCATTCACTGTGTTTGATGTCATCACAATGGAAGGCATAAAAGGTGGAGTAAATCTGTGTCGACACGGTCCCGTCTAGTCCATTAGGCAAAATGGTGCAAGAAGTCTTTAAATTAAAAGTGCCCTACCCTTACCTAAATGGCCAGCAGACACGGAGCACACAGTGAGGAAATCACAGAGCTTTCTCCATGTAGCTGTAAACATGTGTTATCGAATGGCACACTGTCAAACACTGGAAGGGGTGCCGCATGGACTTCTCTCTTACAGGTACGAATGCTAGATCCAACTACCTCAACTCAGCAGGAAGTGGGCTCTTCTGCTAGGAAGGGCAACCCTAATTCGCTTTGTCTTGAAATATATACAGATTGTTTGTAGTAGCTACAGCAATGATGTTTTCCTTGGGGTGCCAGGCTGCATGCAGGATTTTCTTGTTGAAATCTAGGCTGTCAACACTTATTTCATCTTTCTTTCACTTGCCGTTGCACAGACTTTGTGTGGCTTCAAAACCGTGCAAGGCTTATTGTTTTCTTGTGATGCTTCTAGGGTTATATCTCGCTTTGTGTTCCTGTCGAACATTCTGAAGAAATTATTGTAAGATCCAGTCATGACAACACTGTCAGATCCACTCCAACGACATTCAAATTTGTTGGATATGCAGTCATTTTCCTGCAGTGAACAAAGTTTACTTCTGAGGTATTCATGCACCTGGTATGTTTCCACAGCCCTGTTTTCCACATTTAAAACCCAAATTTTGACTGACAAATAATCTCTAGTCATCATATAGCAACCACTGTGGCTGAATTTTACATCAGAAATAGAGGAGATGATTTTGGAAAAAAAAGACAGGTTACTGGGGTCTTCAGGTTCTTCAGTTTAGAATGCCTATCACAGAGGACAGATGCCCTCATGTCACAGCCGAATGGTTCCTTTACTGCTGCTGTACACAAATGTGTTACAGCTGTTGGGATGGAATTCTGCGGGTGTGATCACTTCTGTGAGCTCTTTCATATTGACAGGTTTGATATCCACAGTATTAAAACTCCTGTCTGTAATTTCCAGGTGCCAAAGGTTAACCCACAAATCATCTGCAGATAAGTAAGTTTCATAATCACTATTGATAGAACTGGAGCTGATGTGGTACAAATGAGCATTGGCGAATATTCTTCGAGGACTGGCCTCTACCATTAGGTCCATGAGCCTGAAGACTGGCACTCGTAGTGTAGTTAGTGACTGTAATGGGATCTCTATACCTTCCACCCTCTTTTTTCAAGCTATACCCTTCTGGTCTTTTGTCCCTTTTACTGATTTTCCATAATTTTATTGTTTTATCATTGGTAGACAATAAAAACTGAGCAGCATTTTTCTGGGGTAATCATCTAATTTTGTTGATCTTTTCTTCTATTTCTAAACTTTTCAAGTAGTCAAATTCTGGTTCATGCCTCTGGAAGGTTCTGTAAACATTATATTCTCCTCTGCTATGAGACTGGATTTTGTTCTGCTGCTCCTGTTGCAAGATAACAACTCTACCACCTTTATCTCCTGTTGCTAGTAATTCTCCAGAATGATTAAATTCTACTGTAGAGGGGCCAGGGATTTAGCTCAGTGGTTCCGCTGCCTGCCTCGCAAGCACAAGGTCCCAAGTTCGATCCCCGGGACCAAAAAAAAAAAAAAATTCTACTGTAGAAATTATATCTGCTTCTGCTACATCACCATCTACTGCTCCTTTCACCTGAGAAAAACACTACTGAATATCATTCCCTCCTCCAGCTCCTCACATGGCAGAATCCTAACCGAGATGATAAATACAAGGCATCCTAGACCTGGGCAAGCACTGAGGAGATATAAGGAAGGGTCAGACGCTGTCCCTATGACTGGGTCCCAGGCAGGGTGACCCTGCAGGTCTGTGATGGGGCACCTGTAATGTGACCTGCGATGTGACCACCCCAGCTTCCACCGAGGGAGGAGAATCACACTGAGGATCTCTAATTTTCCTCCAAAGCCCCCTCTACCCTGGGATAGGGTTGGAATGGGTGTCTCCTGGGGCAAGGCACCTGCTCAGCACAGCCAGGACCATAGGGGAGAAGCCCAAGAAAACCAAACCAAAGCAACACAAATGAGTCTGAAGGTGAGGCCAGACCTGCTCAGAGGAGCTCCTGAAGATGCACGCCCGAGGCTGAGCTGCCACCCGGAGGCCAGGGGCCCTGCTTCTCTCCCTCTCCTCCTGCTGTAGTGATCCCGGGGTGGAGCTTCCTGGTGACCATGGCTTCAGGGCCAGGCAGGCGCTAGGCCAAGGGCGGTGTGGACCCTTCCTCCCGAGAGCCAGCTGCTTGGCTCCCTTAAGGGATGGCCTGAGAGGGCCCAGCCTCAGACTTGGGCTGAACCACCAACACTGAAGCAATGGCTGGAGTTGCTCAGGATGTCCAGCTGGGTGAGAACACAAGCAAATCTGCCAGCTGTCTGAGTACAGTCTGTCCTTCTGGTTACCGAGGCTGCACTGGCTGAGCCCTCTGTGGCCACACAGCACCCTCTGAAGCTGCCCCACCCTAGCCATGGGTGCAGTCCTCGCCAAGGATGAGAAAGGAATCTCCCTTCACATGTCCCCATTAAATGCAGCTTCAGCTCAGTCTCATTCAGTGGGTACCTTGCAACTTTGGGCTATGGCTATGTGATTCTTTTAAAGTGGAGTAGGGATGGGAGGCAGGTTTTAAGTGCCAATCCAACCCATGGAAGCAGTGGCTGAATGCCAGAGAAGAGTGGCCTGAGGCCATGTTGAGTGCCATGGGAATATAGCATGGATGTTCACCTGGGCCAGGGATGAGGGAGTGAGGACAGATGCCACCCCAGGGTCAGGTCGCTCTGCTGCAAGGAGAACGGGCACTGTGGACTTGAGGTGTCTGTGCCCCAACAAGCAGTTCAGCAACATGATGGCCTTGACATTTTCCAAGTCTGCATGGTGAGGCCACTGCTTGCCAAGGTACAGTTCTGGGTCCCAAGGAAATGTGGTCCAAGGAGTAAAAGGATGCATCCAAAAAAGCATATACCATCTGTTGCTTGACAGACTGCACCAATAAGGTCCCAACCACTCTAGCTAGGGAGTCACCCTTGCTATTCACTGACAAGTCACAGGCTGCACAAGGCCACAGGGCTCCGATTCACAGCTGGCCTAGCCCCACCCTAACTGGCACCTGCTCAGTTGTGTATGTGGTGTGGGGATTGGACCCAGGTCCCTGTGTTCACTAAGCAGGCTCTCTGCTGCTGAGCTGCACCCACAGCCCACACGTGCCTGCTTTGTACATGAACCTGGGTAAGGCCAGGTCTTGCTCTGGACCCAAGGCCAGGCTGTGCCTGGAGGCCCCTGCTGTTGGCATCCTCTTAGGACAACACTTGCTGCCTGCTCCCAAAGTCCCCCCTGGTCCAGTCCTGGGCTCTGTTGTTCACTCTCTCAGGCAGGGTGTTCTACCCCAAGGCAGCTTCTTGCTTCACAACCTGCGTTTTTCATTGAAGAGCTTTCTGTGTGAAAGCAGGACAAGTTTCGAGCTGGCATGGATGGAGAGAATGCTGGCTTTTGAGAAGCATTTGGAGCGCTCCACGGCCCCAGAGTGCGTGCCGTCCCTCCTCCCACTGCGCTGCCTAAGTGGTCTCCATAGCTGCATTCACCATGCAGCCCGGCTCTCAGGCCCTCGCTGCGGAAACCAGAAAGAAGAGGTTTTTCCTGGGCCTCTCAGCAGCTTTTGTGCTCGTCTCTCCGTCCTCTGAACATTTCTCTAGCACTCATTACCACCCGCTGGAGCTCGGAAAAGGGGCTTCACAGCTGAAGGAAGGTGCTTAAGCCACAAGAGTTTCAGAACAAAGGATCTGGCTGTTCTGAAGATGTTTAATTCTCTCTGAGAGCCACAAAGTGCCCTGAGTAACTGGATTAGCATTTCCCGAGAGGCTGCAGGGTTACAGCTCTTCTCTCCGAGGCTCCGTAAGTGCAGGAGAGTGAGGTGGGGCTTTCGAGTAAGGCTCCGAGAGAAGCTCACCTCCTCCATCACTCAGGCTCACGGCCCAGGTTTACTCCTGCAGCAAACCCACTGCTGCTTCTCAGGCCTGACCAGTAACGAGAGGAAGCAGGGTGGACACTGCCGACGACCAGGTACAGGTGAGCAAGGCTTCTCACACTGTGAGGTGGTGATGTGACCTCCCGGAGCCAGGGCCACTCACCTGTGAGCCCAGCAACAGCTTCAGCCAGCTTCAAAGCCTCATGGTTATCTTTTTCTGCTGTATACTGGGGCTGTATACTGTTCCTTTCCCCAGAATGCTGCTGCTCTCTGGAGTGCAGGGGTGGAGGGTCAGGAGTCTGATGCACAGCCATTCCTGTTACTTGGTCTCCCTTGGCCTGGGGGCAGTGATGGGGACTGCTCCAGGGGCTGGGTCTTCCCTGTCCTCGCCTCCTGAAGGCAGGGCCACAGGGCCCTCCTCAGGTGACCGGAGATAGAAAATCCTCTCAGAAGCACACCTTCCCCCAGCCATTCTCCTGCTGAGGCTCCGTGCACCTCTGGCCAGCCGGTCTCCCTCCCCCACGCATTGGAGGTTCATGGAGGGAGGCACAGGGCCCACTTGGCACATGGCACCTTCCACTCAGAAAAGTCCCCATGAAGAGAACCTCTTGGCTACTGAGTTTCCTTCCAGAACTTCTTGTCCGCCATATATGCCTGACCCAGGGCAGCACTTTTATCTGATGACAGAACTACTTCTCCTGTCAAAGAACCCCACACTTGGCAAGGTCTTTCTTCTCTAAAACTAACAGGCATAAGGAAAGCACCTCTGGCCCTGGCTCATGGTGTCCCCAGTTTCTAATTACCCAAGTCCCAGTTATTTTCCATGGCTCTATTTCTATGGCAATACCAGAAAATATTATTATTTTCATAATTATATTACAACTGGTTCTTGGCCCATTAGAAACATCTGGTAGAAGTTAACCAATGTGCGCTTTTACAAGGCCAGCGTTCCAAGTGCCGCCCTGTCCTGCCTTGCACGGGTGCTGGCTCTGGGAGTGGCTCTGGGCGGTGGTCCCCAGCCTACCTGTGAGGCAGATGCCCTTGGTGCTGTTGCACAGGTCCACCATCACACGGATCTGTGGAGAGAAGGAGGTCAGCAGCAGCCCTGCACCCGCCCTGTCCAGAGAGTGACTGCAAGGATCACCTAGTGCCTTCCGGAGAACATGCAAAATCTGCAGGAGACAGTTAAACCGAAAAGAACCCTCACAACCGCTAAGGATGTTTGAAAGAAGGGCTCATCTATCACCACTGTCAGCAGAATCTCCTTGATTTCTGTCAACTTTTGAGAACACAGAGGATGGGGAGGGAATCATAGCCCTGATTGTTGGGGTAGCAGGCACAGTGGCCAGGAGCAAGCACTTGCTGGCTGGGTGGGCACGGCTGAGGGGTTTAAGGTCTTGACATTCTGCTTTCCTCTTCTGAGGATGCAAACACTACAGCGCCTCCCACAAGGGCTGAGGTGGCTCGGTCCCTGGCGTGCGGAAAGAGACCCATGACAGCAGTGATTCTCCTGCCCCGTAGGCCCTGCCTGCTCACCAGTGGGTACCTACCCGTCACGGAAATGGGGCAAGGCGGGAAGGGAGCCCACAAGATTTACTAGATCCTTTATTCAAAGCCTGCAAAATGCCCACTGATTACTCTTTAAATGAAACTATTCTTTAGAAGAACATGCTCTGATGGAGGGAAAGTGACTGTGTTTTCTCTCAGCTTATCCCATCAGCTCCACGCCAGTTCCCACTCCCCGAAAGGCTCTCTGGAGCCAAGCTTGACCTGTTCCCTCTGTGGGCTGATCTCTAAGATCTAAGGTCTGAAAGAGTGCATAAGATAAATGATAAAACCAAAACACAGAGCAGCATATTTCTTTTCTGTAAAACAGTGGTGCACACACAAATGCTTCTATTTCCTTTTCTCTTGCTGATTTTAAAATGCTCTCTTTGTCTTGGCTTTCAGGAATACTTTTGGAGACAGAACCAAAAATCTTCAAGTGAGGGGAATGGAGGACAAGGTTGGAAGACAGCAGGACTAAGTGTGCTATGTCCTTTATTTTATTAAAAAATTTCACTGATTGCTCTTTAAATGAAATGAAACTATTTTTTAGAAGAACATGTTCTGAGTTGAGGTGAAAAGCGATTTTGTGTTTATCTAAATTTATTCCGTTGGCGAGGCGGTCCATAGGAAAGGTTGTCCTGTACTTGCTCTGTCGGGTTAGCCAACAGGTGTTGTCGACTTCTTTAGGAACTTACTGTGAGCTGTATCATAGGTACCACACACTTATGTGTGTGTGAGGAGTTTAAAGGTGGGTAACATAAGAAACACACACAGGTCCCTCTGTACCCCATGGTCTACAGGCACAGATTCAATCAACTGCAGGCAGAAAGAAAGGGCATCTGTCCTCAACGTGCACAGTTTCTTCTTGCCACCATCCTCTAAACATGGCAGTGTGACAGCGGAACGCAGCACTGACACCATGTGAGGTGTCACAAGTCCTCAGGCTGACTTAGTGTGCAGGAGGATGCACATAGGTTGTATGCAAATACGACAGCTTTCATACAAGAGACCCAAGCATCTCAGGCTCTGGTACCTGAGGAGGCCCAGAAGCAGTTCTCCCTGGGTACTGAGGATGGTGTGGCCCACGCTGGGCGAAGAGCTTGAACTCGCCAGCGTCCAGGCAGCATCCCAGTGCCCTCCCCCACCTACGCTGATCTCCCCCAGCCAAGAAAGCTGAGGCTGGGAGACCCCATGCAGCCTCCAGGCAGAGCGAGGCTCAGCCCCAGGCACCTGGATTCTGGGCCTCTGTCCTCTCTGTTATGGCTCTGATGATTATCTTACTGTAGCCAGAAAGGAAAAAATCTAATTCATCATTTTTAGTATTTTCATAAATGAGCGTAATCAGTGCAATATGGACACAATTTATTATCTTAAAGAATGTCTAATTGCCCATTGAGAGGACTAGGAAAGATTTCACAATGCTTCATTTGTTGCCTAGGGGAGAACGGCAGGAGGGTTAATGTGCAGGAAGAAGCATCAATAGGGAAAATCAGCTTTCTCTTTGACACTTATCACTGTGGTCTGGGACAGGAACAGATAAAAACTGAAGGAGATTTCTTTTCCTAACCTTTGGGCTCCATTCAGATGCCATCATTTTAGATATTTATCACGAAGTTATTTTAATCTTCATTTAGAAATACTTTCGAACTGACAGGCTATATAGAAGATTGCATCAAAGTGAAACATATGTTAGGAAAACACGTGGCCATGAAAAGTCTAGAAATTGTTTTCCTGTTTGGATGAAGTCAGGCATGAAGACACATGCCTATCATTGTAGCACTCAGGAGGCTGAAGCAGGAGGACTGTGACGAGGAGGCCAGCCTGGGTTACATAGCGAGACCATGTCTCAAAAAAACCAGAACAAAAAACATTTCATTTGGATGAAGCTAAAATATTCAAAATTGAAAGGCACAAAACTAGATTGTCAAATTGAGGAGATACAATCTTCACTCAGGGTGTGAAGCCACTGTCCCGAGGGTGTGGGCAGGATCTATCCAGGACGCAGCCCTGCCCCTTCAGAGGGCCACTCCACCGCCCTCCCCTGTCATTGAGGGCCCTGGTGGGTCCCTGGGTTTTCCCTGAGGGCCACCCCTAGGCTTCAAGTCAGGCTTTCCCTGCTCCCAGCTCCAGGAGCGGGCGACCCCTCTCTCACTCCTGACTTTTCGCCTTAGTACCATGCACTTACTGGTATCTGGCCGCAGCTTGCTCATGTGAGTCCCACTCCCCACGGGGAGGACTGCCTTGGATGGATGGACAGTGGCCCCTGACGTTGGTCTCTGACATGAAAACCTGGTGGTGCTGGCCAGAGCGTGGGGCACGGGACAGAAAGGGTTCAATGTGGTGGTGGGAAGTCCCTCTCGACTCAGCTGCTTCCACGCGGAAGACATGTTTTGTGGGAACTGTCACCTCGAGAATAAAGTAGAGGATGTACCCAGAAAGCCCAGGCTTAGTGTCTCCTGGCCACGGGGTCGCTGAGGATGTGGCCATCTCCCCAGAAAAACACAATGTCCCTCCCCCTGCCATTTTATCTCCTAGGTGAGACCAGGGCAGCAGTGGACAGCGACATGTCCCACTGTGAGGAGCTTGACAACACCCAGGGAGCAAGGTTTCCCTGAACTTCTCTTGGCCTCCTAGTCCCTGTCCTTTCTCCCTGCAGTGAATGCCCCAGAAACTAGATTTTCTCTCCCCTCAGACTGGTCACAGAACTCTTTTTCCTCAAAGCAGACCAGAAAGTCCAAAAATATTGCTCTAATTTTCCCTGTCCTTCTGTCTTGGAGTTGGCCATAAGTAAATTCTCTATCTTGTCTGAGAATGGATCGTAAGATTCTCATTTCAGAAGGGCCCTGCCTATTCCTGGCTACACAGAGAGGCCAAGAAGAACTCGAGCATCCGGGGCTTGTGGGGTGCCCCTCAGTCTGGCAGCATTAGACCACACCCATGTTGTCCAGTCACACTCCTGTTTGGCCACCAATGCATACAAGTGGGTAGACACCCTGGGCCTGTAAAACAATAATCAAGTAAATTTCCTAGGCCTTTCTCTGCTATTGCCCTGACTCTTTATGCCAGGCAGGAAGGAACCATGCCTCTTTTCACCCCTACCCCAAAGGGGTCCTGCACGTGGCCTGAGCAGACCCCTGTGTTCTCTCTGAAGAGAACGGCATCACTGGGTTAGCAGAATCCATGGGGATCCTGGGGAAGGAAGGGGCCTCAGGAGAAGAATAATAGACTTCCTGCTAACCTGGCATCAGATGACTTGAGCTGGCTGTTGTTCAAACTACCTAGAGATGGGATACAATGGGCTGTGCCTACCAGCAAAACAACACCATGAGTTAGGAATCTCCCTTACAGGAAGAGCATAGCAAGATCTCTGGACAAGAAGGCTTTGCAGCACTGAGGCAAAACAGGCACAGGACCTCAACATCTGCCCACAAGGGGCTTGTTCTGAAAGTTAAAAAAGATGAGGTAGATGCACATGTACTTCGTGGAAAGAGCCACAACGTGCTGTGAAGTGATAAAAGCATAATGCAGTTCAAGCCAGACAACAAAACAGAACTTTTTGCTTGAAAATGAAAAACTAGAAACGTTTGAATTAGTACAGAGAAAAGGTTAGAGGGTCAAAACCACTGACAGACTGCTTTCTCCCCCACAGACCGAGGCTGCTGCTTGGCTTTTGGCTCATTTTTCTTTTTTAAAGAGGAAAGGTAAAAATAATATGGAACGCTTCTGGAATCTGCGTGTCATCCTTGAGCAGGGTCCATGCTAATCTTCTCGGTATCGTTCCAGTTTTAGTACATGTGCTGCCGAGGTGAGCACTGGGTTTTGTCTTAGTAGCACTTATTTATCCAATCTTGTCTTCTTTATGTGTATTTATTTATATAGTTAAAAGAGATTTTTTCAATGTTTCATTTATACAGTATTAAGAGATATGTTGAAATGATGGGTGATTTGTTTTACTTTGCTATGTTTTGAGGGAGGAAGAGAGAAAGGATGAGAGAGAACAAAGCCCAGTAGTGTGAGAGGATTTTTTTTTTTTTACTTACATTCTTTTATTGGTACATTTTAGGTATACAATACATTTACATTTCTCATTGGGAATTGTACCTGTACATGATGCATCTCGGTTCTTATCTTTTCCCCATTCCCTGCCCTCCTTTCACCCCACCCTTCCCTCTTTACAAGGACTTTATTTCCATTTTTTCC